GGAGGGAGAGGTGAGTGTCAAAGGCAGGGATATTGCCTTTGTAGTGTGTTAAACAGTTAAGATCTTTATTAAAGCCAAAGTTAATAGTGTTGAACTTGAAAATGAAATCCAGTTCAGCTGTCCCCCTCTGTAATAGGGTAATAATTTTTTTTTTGTAGAAGGATGACTACTTTTAAATACAATATTGAACATCTAGGGAGATTAAATGTTCCCCTACATCAGGAGTGGGGGAACCTTTTTTGAGTCAGGGGCTGCTGTCCCACAGAAAAATCAGTTGGGAGCCACATACAAGTGAGAAGCGCAAAAAACAAATAAACAAACCCTCCAAATACAAAACAAAAGCCCAAACTCTCACAGACTTAGCCCCTGATTGAGAAGAAGAAAGACACTCCTCACATTTCCCTTACGCACCAGAGCCTATGGGTGTCCAGCCTAGTAAATTTTGTGTGCTTCAGCTCCACGGTAGCGAGCTGGAGTGCCAACACAGGCTCCCCAATGCTGGGGGGCAGCCCTGAGCTTCGGAGGCTGGATTCCACACAAGGCAGGGTCTGTATCTGACCTCCGGGCCTTAGGTTCCCTGCCCTACAGGTTTATGTGTGTTGCCATTCCTGATGTCCTTATTTTTTGTCCATTTATCCTTTGGTGCAGAGACTGTCCAATTTGGCCAATATCTATACAAGTGACACTATCACAGGATGTAGCCATATAAGCCACAACATCAGGGGTTCATATACCTGCACATCCACTAATATAATATATGCCAGCAATGCCCCTCTGCCAGGTATATTGGCAAAACCTGTTACATAGCTCATGAATTTATAGACCAATGAGCTTTGACCCAAATAAGGGGACTTATACAAACCCCACTGAAGTTAAAAGGAGCCTTTCCATTAACTCCAAAATTCTTTGGCTCTGCTCTTAAGAACATGTATTATTTGAATCAAGGTAGATTTTATTTCAACATTGTGTTACAGCCTTTTCTGGAAATCCTATGTCAAATAGCTATAGTCTCTTCAGTTTGGACAATTTCTTTATGGGGAAATTAGCTATAGATAAGGTAGCTTCCCTGTCTCTCTCTTTTTTTTTCTTCTCACTCCTCCCCCCCCTTTTTTGTGTGCGCTAAGATTATTTGTAGCTGATGAAACCAGCTCTCTTAAGAAAACTATTGCAATGAGTCACAAAACATCTGGAAGTTAAGACTGTGCTTGAAATTTATAGCTGCTTTGGTGTTCAGCAAGCTCTCTAATAGAATCAGTATGAAGTTGGTGGGCAATAGGGTGAGAGAACCTGTTCAAGGGACATTACCACGATTGCTACTCTTTGTACATGAATTGCCAAGGAAAACTATTGTAAAAATTAACTTAGTTTTGTGGTGTCTCTTGGGTAGAATTACTAAGGTCCTGGGATGTGAAATAACTGAAAATTTGCCTTTAGACTAAGTCAGAGAATCACAAAAGAAGCCAAGCCACAGGACCATCTATAGCTTGTAGAAAAAGAAAATTCTGAAGTGGAACGTGAGAAAATAAGCATATGCAGGCACAACTCAAAATGGAATAAGAATATACTAGAGTTAGGAAAAGCACTTTTTTATTCTTCACAACAAGGAACCAAACCAGAATGCTAATGTAACAAAAGCAGATAAATGTTTTGAATTAGCATTTTAGTTGGTTTTCTTGTGCTTGGAGAATAAAAGAGTTCTTTTGTAGGAGCAGAAACAATTCTGTATTTGACAACCAGAAATGCAGTAGGAGTAAGTAACAGCCAGTTATTTCTGTATTAGGGATGTAAGCAAGTAGTTGACTACCTGAAAAGCCTAAGCGTGTTGGGTAGTTGAATCAACTACTTGACTACTGTCTCCTTCCCCTGCTGCCTCTGTATTGGAGGAGGGGAGCAGGAGCCAGTGCTGGGGGGAGACAGCTTAAAAGCCAGTTCCCTCCAGCACCGTATCGGCGATACTGCATGCACCTCAGCACTGTTACCTCTGATTGAGGCAGCAGTGCAAGGGGGAAGCAGCAGGGGAGGCTATCAAGAAGCAGCTGCTGTCCTGGGTGGCCCGGGCTAGCTGTGGGCAGAGGCTGCTCCAGCAGCAGTCTTTGTCAGTGGGGGGGTCTCAGCAAGGAACTGGGACCCCCTGCGGGCAGGGACTGCTAGACCCAGCGCGAGCTGGGACTGAGCAATCCTGGCTCAGTCGCAGCTTGCGCTAGTTCCAGGACCTACCCCTGCTGTGCCTCTGCAGTTTAAATGTATTAAGAGCCAGGCTGCCTGCACACCCAGCTCTTACTACATTTAAATTGCAGAGCTGCAGCGGGGGTAGCTCCCGGACCTGGCACAAGCTGTGACTGAGGAAGCCTTCCCTTATCGACTACTCATGTAATCAATACAAATTTTATCGACTACACAATTAGTGGATTACCTGCCTCTTAAGATCCTTATTTTGTATGTTATTACACTTTTTTGGCAACACTGTGTGTACCTCATGTTGTTTTTTGAGAGGCCCAAAGGTCATTCTAAATCAGATGAATTTCTATCAACCAGAATAAGACTTTTCCTATGTGAAATTTCAATATTAAAAATTCCAGGATGTAGAAAGTCAGCCTTTAAACAAGGTCATGCTCCTACTACTGTATTTTACAAATAATCTTGTTATATCTTGCAAATATTTTTTTAAATGTCCTTTTCACAGTGATTTAATTTATCAGTGTTGTGGTGCTCTCTGGACCTTCACCCATATCTAGAAATATATAGTGCAGGCCATCACCTTAATGGACAGGGCTTGGAAAAATTACATGCAAATCTGAAGTTGATGTAAAAGACTTCTGACCACTAATAGGATCCAAGAGCAGTGTCCTCATGAGAAACTGAGTACCATCATCCTCAGTCTCCTGGGAAGCAAGATTGAGTATCTATCATGAGGCTGTTCCTGTATTGAGCATGAGTCATTTCAATTTCAAATCAGAGGGTGTGTCTAGACTACATGGCTCCGTCAACGGAGCCATGTAGATGAGTGTACTCGGCAAAGGGAAATGAAGCGGCGATTTAAATAGTCGCCGCTTCATTTACATCAGAATGGCCCCTGCGCTGTGCCGACAATCAGCTGATCTCGGGAGGGAGGTGGAGGTGGGGAGGAGAGACTTTACGTGCTCCCCATGCCAATCAGGGTCTGTGGGTGGGAGAGCAAAGAAGTCTCTTGACTCTGCCCCTTCTACCTGAGGCCACTTCTGAAATTTGTGAAGTGGCCATCTTTTAAAAATTATTGCCCACCCCTGCTCTAGCCCTGTGACTCCAAGATGCTGAAATGCTGGCTCTGCTGTTAGTCACAATCTCATAATAAACTGTTCTGGACAAGAAAAGCCAGCTAATATAGCAAAGGGATAAGCATTGCTGAATCTTTTGACTATTACTGATCTTTACTTGTAAATAGGTTAAGCCTGTGAGTACCAGTTTTGCCTAACCCGGAATCTGGTGTCTGCAACTGCCACTGAGCTAATACCTTTTTTTATATAATGCTTAGTTGGGGTTTTTCTAATACTTCTGTTTTAAGGAAATCTAAAATTCAACAGCTAGTAAATGTTTCCAATGTTTACTTTCCTGCAAAATTCAGAAGGAAATGGGAAAGGATAATTTGTAAAATTAATATAATTTTCTTCTAAAGAAAGCTTGGATGTCAGTGTTAGATCACTCCATGTCCTGGTTTTGTACTGCAGACTAACTTTTTCTGTCTTGACTGACCGCAACTGGAGCCGCCTAGTCAATAGTTTGAGGACACATCTGGTATTAATCACTTTTATAGGCATGTGACTGTGCATAGTATTGTGTTCTAGACATTTCCCTTCTTAAAGGACTTGCGTTGGTTTAATTACCTGAAATTACTTTGTTATAGATGTTTGTTTATATGTTTTGTATTAAATTGTTCCGTAATTACACGTTCAAAAAGTGTCTGGATTGGATAGCTTTTGCCCTTGATCCATCTTCCTTCAACCTCTAATTTTGTTCCTTAGCTAAATATTGTTAGACCTGGATTCCAGCAACAAGTGTTGGGTAACTACCGGACCACTCATATACATGTACACTTCAGTCAGACCACTCCTGTGCATAAAGTTTGGCATGTGTACAATTGGAAGGTCTTAATCTCTAAATTCTGGTCAGCTCTAGTCTTGAGTTGGTACAACAGGCATACTTGAAATCCCATGTAATATTACATGTAGCTAAAACCATGGTCTGTGCACAGAACTGAAGTTGAAAAATTATAGACTTTGACTCTGGTTCTGATTTTGTGTCCTTTCAGCCCTGGTTATCACAATGGAAATACGTGTAACAGTATAGAGAGATGTGTACTTTATCAGTGCGTAGCATTTACCACAAAGTGGAACCCGAAGCACAGGTTTACTTCATATTGTCACAATAGACACATAGCTTGGGATCTGTAAGATACTGTTGGATAAATATTTTATTTATAGTTGTCACCATTATACATCATACAGGCACACGATGTGTGTGGCATAAAGACCTTAAAGTTGTGGATCATTCCAGTCATCACAAATAATGTAATGGTGTAACCAGTTCCTCCCTGCAACCTTCTTCAATTATTTAGATATTAAAACTAAATTGATATTCAAGACCGGGTGGTCAGGAACATTTCCACTTGACTGCCCCAGAGAATAATTTCACATTATGGTCAAGAGAGAAGTGCAGGAGATGGCCCTTTTTTGGTAATGTGGGGAGCACTGTGGTTGCCATCTGGAAACAGGAGTAAGAACTCACTTCAATGCTCTTGGGAGACACAAGTCTTGAATTGAACAACAGCCTAATGTTTGTCTTTCTAGATTCCCTTCAGTAGGGAAGGGGCTTATGTAGGATAGAATCTTTCAAGCACACAGTGAGAACTGAACAAGACTCCTATGAACTTTCCCAGAGAAAGAAGCCAAAGCTATTGTGATGACTGATGTGCTCCAACTTTCTCTTTCTCTCTCTCTCTCTCTCTCTCTCTCCTCCAATGAAAGGGTGTGGAAAAGGCTTGCAAAAATTAAAAGGAAGGAGGAATGCCTGATGATTCTTGGACAAATTGCAGCACACCTGAGTGCCCCAAGGGAGGGTCAGTCCAAGACCTCAAAAATGGATGTCTGTAACTTTTATAGTAAGTTTCCTTTATTTTTTACACCAAAGCTTTACAAAAGTGTGAACAATTTACTTCCCTTAGTAGTTAATACATACACATTTTTATTTCTTTCTATGTAATTTTTGTTTTGACTTGTATCATTAATGATACAATGGGAATACTCATTGGTTGCATTGCATTTATGTGTGTATCCTTTGACACACTATTGATTTAAAGAGAATCCATCCCTTATGGGTGGAAGAATCAATCCCAATGTGTGTTGAAACCTGACCTTTGTCATAACAAATTTGTTTCGATTTCACAGTCATGGTACTTGGCCCTTATCTGTCCTTTCTCTCATTTGACCCATGTGATCATAGTTAATCACAGGATTTCAGTTGCTATGTACATGCCAACAGTGTGTTGATTTTCATTTCCATCCTACTCTCTTTCTCTTTCAGCTATCTCTTATGGGATATTATATTGCCAGCCTAAAGTTAACATGACAAATACTGAAAACCTTCTCCTCTCAGACTCTTCCCCCTCCTCCCTTGACTCACTTTTTGCTATACTACTCTCCTTCCTCTCCCTCAGTAGTCAAAGATGCTTCCATTTTTTACTCTCCCCTCCCCCTGCTGCCTTATCACCCCCCTCCCTCCCTGAAAGGTCTTAGAGGTTGGCTCTGTACCTCATTAATACAATCCAGAGCACCACAAAGGTGTTGTGATACATTCCTACCTCTACTCCACCAATGGCTAATGGGGTAGAACACAAACACTTCATGGTATCTAAGGGATACAAAAACCTTTTTACCTACTCGTGGTAGCGGAGGCAGCCAACCACAAGGAGTGGCAGGGAAAGCTGGGATACGCTCCCAAACCTAAAGAAACTAAGAAGCTGGACCTCTACAATCAGATGTACTCCACTGGAGACTCCAGCTTTGCATAACAAACCAGAAAGCAGTTCTCAGCCGCTACTGCTATAATTCCTGGAGTAATTCAGATAAGTTCCTGGAACTACATCCACTGAACTCCCACTCTGAGTTTGAGGCAGTGTTGGAAGGAGGGCAGTATGGATGCAAGACTTTCTTACAGACCACCATAGATTTGGCCACCCTCATGATAGCCACAACTATAACTAGAGCTTGACAAATGGTGGAGCCCCGCACTGCACATGTGCAAGTCCCGCATTGTGCATGTGCGCGCCGCTGATGAATGGGGCGACCAGCTGAAATCTACTCGCCACGGACGAGTAGATTCACTGATTTGTCGAGCCCTGGCTATAACTATAAGGCACAGTTCCTGGCTTCAGATCTCAGGGCTTTTACACACTGTTCCCTCTAAAATTTTCCATCCATGAGTGCAGTGAATTGTCTTGTTCACCAGTATTGATGTCATGTGCACTTGTTTGGATGTGTGTCACTGTATCACCCACCAGTTTTAAATACGAAAACAAGGCATAATTAACAAGGTGCATGACCTTGCACCCACCCTGAAAGCCACTCAGCTTGGCACCTAGTCTCACCCCCACCCAGCCTTGCTCCCATCGTTCCTGCATCCCTGCACCCCCATCATGTGCACCTTTTATCACTAACACTGCATTGTGCTCGCTTTGCCCGTAGCTTCTGCACAGTGCCCTTTTCATCCCAAGCCCTACACTGTCCTCTCAGCTGTGCCCCCAACCTCCACTCTCTATGCTTCCGGCATGTCCTGTCACGCTGACCCCCTGCCCGGTACCTTCCACCCCCTTTGCCCAGCGACACCCATGCCCATTTTCCCCTCTTCCTTTGGCTATGACGTCCTGGGCATGGGCCCCATTTGCCCTAAGCATGGGCCCTAAGGCTGGTCCTGCAATAGGGCAGCTGACTGCCATGTGGCTCCAGCCCCAGTCCCAGCTGCCCCCCACATGGTGGCTCTATTCCCGGCTGCCAGAGCTGTTGCTGCCGCCCATGATGTGGTGAGACAAGCCTGGGCTCCACCTGCTGGAGCTGCTGCCACTGACCATCATGTGGCTACAGCTCTGGCCCCGGCTGGGACTGCCAGAGGAGCAGCCACCTGTGACACAGCCCACAGCTCTAGCCCTGGGGAAAGGGCTGAAGCTAGGCCCAAGGCTATGTGGTGGCTGCTCCTGGGG